TTTCCAAAAATATTGCAAAACTGGTAAATGAAGAAGTGAATTCAGATGGCTCGTTTGCAGCGCACAGATGACCATACGGTATGAAACTTGGTAGGTGCATAAACAGAGGACTGCAGGGCTTAAAGGCACCGCCCACCCTAAGTTAAGCGTGGTGAAATTTTGACATCATATAATAGTAGGCCCCCCCCCTATCAAGCCAATGCCCAAGTTGCGGCACAAAATGCGGCTTCGGAAGCGAAAAAATCGCTTCGGAATAGCGAAGATGCACGAGGACCCCATCCATGACCGCCCTTTCAATTCACATAAATGTTGTACACCTAAAGTTTCTATATGGTAGTTGGTTCCGAAACTCGTCCTCTTGTCTTTGTTAGAGCCCAAAATCGCATCAGCAGCCCAGCTTTTCAAGGAGGAAAGCCCGCTCCAGTCAAACGACACGTGGGAACGGCTACTCAGTAATATAACTGCGTTACTTTGATATTTCTTCAATCCTTCATTTTTTCTTGCTTATTCCTTTTACTGTTTTCTATCTTGATAAAGGTGAGGAATAATTAGAGGAATTTGAGCGTTTTTGGGCGCTTTTGAGCGCTTTTAGGCGAAGTGTGGCCGGTGCTTTCGTTGCACAAGCACAAAGCATCGTTTTTGGGCTCAAGGGGGTATTCGTAAAAATTTTGGGATCAAAGGGGAATTCGTTTTGGAAAACCTCATTTGCCCATGCCGGGCCTTGGTCCTGAATATGGGAGCTTGGGAAGTGGCACGCAACACGTCAGAGTTGTATCGGGAGATTAGAGAGGGGGAGAGCTGTAGTCGAGGTGGTGCTGGTAATATTGATGGCATGGTATTCCTTGACAGTATGACTGGTATCCTCCCCCCCCCCCCCCTCCCCTCCCCCATTGCGCAGAATTCAAGCACACCGAGATACTGTATCATTGTAGACCTGTCGGCATATAAAGAGGTCCTGCCAAGCATAATGAATACCATTCTCGTAAATATCATGTCAAATAATTCCTGTTGACCAAAATTCAGGGCAATTTTCCAAAAGTAGACCCATTCAAGTGAAGTGGCCAATTTCAACCAAAATCAACTTTTCGGAAACATAATGTGTATGTGTGTATAGTGTTGTAATTAAAAACAAAAATTGTTGTGAACATCTTGATGTCTTTGTTGATTTATAAGCTAAACACTCACATTTTTCAATAAGTTGGTCACTTTTTGCATTGACATTTTCTCTGCCTTTTCCACCGGGGGAGTGGCGGCAGCCACAAAAAATTTCAAGAATAATGCAGTTATGTACAAGTACAAACAAGTCATCTATATAACTCATGTAAGTAACTTTCAAGAGAGGGCCACCCTGCCCAGGTCCCCCCTCCCCTTGGTCCGCCACTGATAGGCGACTGTTTGACACATATATCGTCCGTTAAAAAAATTTTCTGTGGCAAAATCTTTGGCTTACGGCACAATCCTAAAAAAAGGTGTGGCTGTCACACGTGTTTCGGGCTTGTGCTACATTCCTTAATGTCACGCAAAACTCAGAACGAAGCAAGTATCACGAACTAATCTTGTAGTTTTCATAAAATCGGTTTAATCCTGTTCCATCCTTCATTTCTCCGAATAACATTTGCCGAATTGGAACCACTGTCGAAAAATGCGACGTACGATATTCTGACCGCCTTCTATTTCATTGTTTGGCGGCCATCTGCAGTGGGTTTAGTGCATACCAAGCAGGGGTAACCTGGTCCGGATTCGTTCATCCTGACGAAATACGACTGAACGAAAAGTTAGGCGATAAGGCGAGTTCGGCGAAAATGCGTCTGCTATCGTATAGAAATTATTATTTGCTTCAAAAAGTGCAGTACTGTATATAGTACTTCACATTTAGTCAACACGAAACCTATTTCGTTTTGTACAAGATTAAGTAGAAGTAGGAACAAATTATGAAACATTCTGAATTTTATGTGAATGAAAGACATGCGCAACATCCTTGATTGGGTAAAATTTAGGGATCTCCAACTCTGCCCGGTGAAAGTTTCAAAATTTTAACATCAATCTAGTCTGCGTCACACTTGCACACTATGGCGGCGGGGTATCCCTCCTTCTAGTGTACTGATCAACTCGGTAATTCCAGGTCCGGTATTCCTAAAAGGAAAATAGTCCACACCAAAAAGTAGATCTTGGAAGACTCTTGGGAGCGTCATCGGGATACCATTCGAAAGGAATTCAGATAAAGATTGCGGTAGTAAGACCATATAATTTGCTTTGAGAACAGAAAAGTATATGCAAAAATATCTTTGTAGAGAACACCTTGTGTATCTCATTGAATTTTTAGAGGTTTCGATAGCTCATTCAGATTGACTTTTGCGCAGAAAATGACTTCTATATCTTATTAAATTAACTAAGTTGTTATTAGTTGTTGTTATGTTCTAAACTACTCTTTTGCGTGGTTGTGTAGATAATCATTTGTGATTTCCTTTCATGTGAAACTCCACTCATACGTTGCTATACCAAATCACTTGAAGTTTATTTTGCGAGTTTCTAATTTAAACGACGCATAGACCTTCAGAGCATCCTCCCGGGCATTTCGAACATGGTGCACCTGTTTCGTAGATTTTGGCATTAAGCATATTTCCTCTAAAATTGAAGTCTTGTTGGTGGCTTACTGAAACAACTCTACTTACGCTTTTTTATAATTGCAGACTGCTAAGGTCATTCTGGGGCAGGTTTGAACAGCGCAACCAATGACTTTTGTAGACTGCCAGACCATCTAAATCTATGTATTTAAGAAACCACGACATTGTCTGAGATCATTCCTGCTACTAGCAACAAGTAAGCAAAGACTCTTTAACGTAATTGAGAAGTTTTCAAGATGGCGCAAAGCAAACGCATTGGGAAGGGTATAGTTTATTGCATTGGCGCAAATCTAGTGCTGCGACTGCTTCTTGGGTGCGGGGTGGTGGTGGCTTTGTAGGAAGAACTAGGATATTGTATTCTCGGTGATGGGAATGCAGAAACTGTTTTCACCTGTGTGTAGTGTCCAACTTTATTGTTGAAGAGTTTCATGCTGAAGGTGAGGTCTTTGCCAACTCCGTGTTGTGCAAGCTCCCCAAACCATGATCTTGAAGCCTGTAATGATAGAAACGAGTTGCTTTCTTTGAGCGACAAGCAAAATGGCATTATTCACATCTTCGGCAGCTTTTACTGGGTCGTACGCCGAGCCGCGCATGTAGACGTTTTCTCCAAGATCTTTAGTATTTGAGTGCTGGAAGACACATTTAGCAGCGTGTTTCACAGCGTATTTCTCCACATCGCAGTCGTACTTCTGGAATATCTCGCTAATACTTGCTACCTATCATCAATGTTGCCAGAGAAAATACCAATTTGTTCATGGCAGCAGCTTTAGGAGCATAACCTCCATAACCGTCTTTAGCTTTTCCATTAGCCACAAGCGATCTGCATGCATCAGATGTGAACTCGTAGAAAGCGAAAAATCCTCATTAGATATCTCTTACCTTAGCTCGTTGTGAACGTCCAAGAACTTTTGACGGATCTGATCGTTCATGCCGCCATTTGCGGGGCAAAAACCTGGTAAGAAAGGACTAACATTTTTGGCAATAAGCAGCACGAAGAGCTACTATACCTGCATAAGCAGTCGCGATTAGGCAAACCTGAAATGTTTATTAAATTGCTTAGTCAAAATTGAGAAAGTAGCGACTTACCAATAGAACGGAACGCATTTTGTGTGTGATGCTAGTCCTATGTTGCTGCTTTTATGCAGGTTGTGAGCTTTCACCCTTCTGATGTTGGTCATAAGCTGTGTCATCTTTTCACATCATTTTGATGCAGAAAATTTTGAAGATCTTCTGTTGGGATCTGTTATCATAGCTGTCTCATAAGTGAATTCTGATGTCAAATAAAACATTGAGCGGAAAAAGCAAAGCAAAAAATACCAACACCATCGACGTTGCCGATTGTTATGAATCTACCCTATCGTAGACAAAACTCTGATATACTGCAATGACTCGGTTAGCTCCACCAATGTGAGTATATTGGTAGAGATGTCAGCCTAGTGCACACAAAGAAATAGATGATAGTTTTTCTTGGGTTGATTACATTCCTATTAAACTAAGCTCCAATAACAGTCTAGATAGGGATCTACTCAAGAGAGCCTCAAAATTTGGGTACTACAAACCGACACGCTGACTATGAAAAGCAATACAGCAATGCACGCCACACTTGATCATCAAAGCAGCTATTGCTTGAAAGAAATACGCATAGAGTGAAATGTTGAGAAAAATACTGTTTTTTGGCGATCCAACCACCTCTAGCCTTATTCCAAATACAGGTAAAAGCGCCGTTCTAGCTTCGAATGCATCCAGAGCCTATGAAGCTAATGAAACATTGCTTCTTGCTTCGATGACAGCCTAGACTTTTTCATCGGTCTCATCAACGTCAATGATTTCGTTCGTACTCTTTGCAATCAATGTTCTATTTGAAATCAGAATTCACCTGATGTGCGAGATACAGCTATGGTGACATTCCCTATACATCCCCCAGCAAATTCATAATGAAGAGATGACACAGCTTATGACCAACGTCAGAAGGGCGAAAGCTCACAACCTGCATAAAAGCAGCAACATAGGACTGGCATCACACACAAAATGCGTTCCGTTCTATTGGTAAGTCGCTACTTTCTCAATTTTGACTAAGCAATTTAATAAACATTTCAGGTCTGCCTAATCGCGACTGCTTATGCAGGTATAGTAGCTCTTCGTGCTGCTTATTGCCAAAAATGTTAGTCCTTTCTTACCAGGTTTTTGCCCCGCAAATGGCGGCATGAACGATCAGATCCGTCAAAAGTTCTTGGACGTTCACAACGAGCTAAGGTAAGAGATATCTAATGAGGATTTTTCGCTTTCTACGAGTTCACATCTGATGCATGCAGATCGCTGGTGGCTAATGGAAAAGCTAAAGACGGTTATGGAGGTTATGCTCCTAAAGCTGCTGCCATGAACAAATTGGTATTTTCTCTGGCAACATTGATGATAGGTAGCAAGTATTAGCGAGATATTCCAGAAGTACGACTGCGATGTGGAGAAATACGCTGTGAAACACGCTGCTAAATGTGTCTTCCAGCACTCAAATACTAAAGATCTTGGAGAAAACGTCTACATGCGCGGCTCGGCGTACGACCCAGTAAAAGCTGCCGAAGATGTGAATAATGCCATTTTGCTTGTCGCTCAAAGAAAGCAACTCGTTTCTATCATTACAGGCTTCAAGATCATGGTTTGGGGAGCTTGCACAACACGGAGTTGGCAAAGACCTCACCTTCAGCATGAAACTCTTCAACAATAAAGTTGGACACTACACACAGGTGAAAACAGTTTCTGCATTCCCATCACCGAGAATACAATATCCTAGTTCTTCCTACAAAGCCACCACCACCCCGCACCCAAGAAGCAGTCGCAGCACTAGATTTGCGCCAATGCAGATAAACTATACCCTTCCCAATGCGTTTGCTTTGCGCCATCTTGAAAACTTCTCAATTACGTTAAAGAGTCTTTGCTTACTTGTTGCTAGTAGCAGGAATGATCTCAGACAATGTCGTGGTTTCTTAAATACATAGATTTAGATGGTCTGGCAGTCTACAAAAGTCATTGGTTGCGCCGTTCAAACCTGCCCCAGAATGACCTTAGCAGTCTGCAATTATAAAAAAGCGTAAGTAGAGTTGTTTCAGTAAGCCACCAACAAGACTTCAATTTTAGAGGAAATATGCTTAATGCCAAAATCTACGAAACAGGTGCACCATGTTCGAAATGCCCGGGAGGATGCTCTGAAGGTCTATGCGTCGTTTAAATTAGAAACTCGCAAAATAAACTTCAAGTGATTTGGTATAGCAACGTATGAGTGGAGTTTCACATGAAAGGAAATCACAAATGATTATCTACACAACCACGCAAAAGAGTAGTTTAGAACATAACAACAACTAATAACAACTTAGTTAATTTAATAAGATATAGAAGTCATTTTCTGCGCAAAAGTCAATCTGAATGAGCTATCGAAACCTCTAAAAATTCAATGAGATACACAAGGTGTTCTCTACAAAGATATTTTTGCATATACTTTTCTGTTCTCAAAGCAAATTATATGGTCTTACTACCGCAATCTTTATCTGAATTCCTTTCGAATGGTATCCCGATGACGCTCCCAAGAGTCTTCCAAGATCTACTTTTTGGTGTGGACTATTTTCCTTTTAGGAATACCGGACCTGGAATTACCGAGTTGATCAGTACACTAGAAGGAGGGATACCCCGCCGCCATAGTGTGCAAGTGTGACGCAGACTAGATTGATGTTAAAATTTTGAAACTTTCACCGGGCAGAGTTGGAGATCCCTAAATTTTACCCAATCAAGGATGTTGCGCATGTCTTTCATTCACATAAAATTCAGAATGTTTCATAATTTGTTCCTACTTCTACTTAATCTTGTACAAAACGAAATAGGTTTCGTGTTGACTAAATGTGAAGTACTATATACAGTACTGCACTTTTTGAAGCAAATAATAATTTCTATACGATAGCAGACGCATTTTCGCCGAACTCGCCTTATCGCCTAACTTTTCGTTCAGTCGTATTTCGTCAGGATGAACGAATCCGGACCAGGTTACCCCTGCTTGGTATGCACTAAACCCACTGCAGATGGCCGCCAAACAATGAAATAGAAGGCGGTCAGAATATCGTACGTCGCATTTTTCGACAGTGGTTCCAATTCGGCAAATGTTATTCGGAGAAATGAAGGATGGAACAGGATTAAACCGATTTTATGAAAACTACAAGATTAGTTCGTGATACTTGCTTCGTTCTGAGTTTTGCGTGACATTAAGGAATGTAGCACAAGCCCGAAACACGTGTGACAGCCACACCTTTTTTTAGGATTGTGCCGTAAGCCAAAGATTTTGCCACAGAAAATTTTTTTAACGGACGATATATGTGTCAAACAGTCGCCTATCAGTGGCGGACCAAGGGGAGGGGGGACCTGGGCAGGGTGGCCCTCTCTTGAAAGTTACTTACATGAGTTATATAGATGACTTGTTTGTACTTGTACATAACTGCATTATTCTTGAAATTTTTTGTGGCTGCCGCCACTCCCCCGGTGGAAAAGGCAGAGAAAATGTCAATGCAAAAAGTGACCAACTTATTGAAAAATGTGAGTGTTTAGCTTATAAATCAACAAAGACATCAAGATGTTCACAACAATTTTTGTTTTTAATTACAACACTATACACACATACACATTATGTTTCCGAAAAGTTGATTTTGGTTGAAATTGGCCACTTCACTTGAATGGGTCTACTTTTGGAAAATTGCCCTGAATTTTGGTCAACAGGAATTATTTGACATGATATTTACGAGAATGGTATTCATTATGCTTGGCAGGACCTCTTTATATGCCGACAGGTCTACAATGATACAGTATCTCGGTGTGCTTGAATTCTGCGCAATGGGGGAGGGGAGGGGGGGGGGGGAGGATACCAGTCATACTGTCAAGGAATACCATGCCATCAATATTACCAGCACCACCTCGACTACAGCTCTCCCCCTCTCTAATCTCCCGATACAACTCTGACGTGTTGCGTGCCACTTCCCAAGCTCCCATATTCAGGACCAAGGCCCGGCATGGGCAAATGAGGTTTTCCAAAACGAATTCCCCTTTGATCCCAAAATTTTTACGAATACCCCCTTGAGCCCAAAAACGATGCTTTGTGCTTGTGCAACGAAAGCACCGGCCACACTTCGCCTAAAAGCGCTCAAAAGCGCCCAAAAACGCTCAAATTCTTCTAATTATTCCTCACCTTTATCAAGATAGAAAACAGTAAAAGGAATAAGCAAGAAAAAATGAAGGATTGAAGAAATATCAAAGTAACGCAGTTATATTAGACTTTAACTAATTATTACTAACTAACTTTTATTAACTCATTCGACTTCCCACCTTCACTCTGAGCGGCTGCTAACTACATTCTTATCCAATTATGGTTGTATTCACTCGATCTAAGTCGAACAAGATGAATTCTTCTGCCGCTAGTGGTGAGCTAAGTAGTGATGTTTTCGGCACCGACTCCAACTCTACTCAGAAGGCTGCTGAAATGGCAATGCACCTCAGCACTTTATCGGATTTTTTCGCACATGCGCAAAATGTACCAGCTCAAGTTGTAGAATCATTCAATGCCTTACAATCAATTTTGAATGATTCCCATGCTCTGTGCGAAGAATTCCAACGCCGCAGGAGTATTGTAATTCACGGCATTTCTGAGCTATCACCTGGCAGCCGTCCCTCGATAAGACAAGCTGATATCGAGAATAAAGTTTCCGAAATAATGGATGCACTCGATATAGAGGTCCGGCCTGTAGCTATCTATAGAATGGGTAAGGCTTCTGAGGGGAAACCACGGCTTACCAAAGTCGTGCTTCCCTCCAGGACGCATTGTCTCAAGATACTTAGCAAAGCAAAACTTTTACGCAGTAACCCTCGTTTTTCAAGCATATTCGTACGGCCCAGTCTGACTCCTGACGAGCGCAAAAGGCATTTTGAATTGCGCAAGGCTGCACGAGAAAAAAATCAGGCGCTGGGTTATAAAGCTTATGTGGTTTATCGTGGAGAGCTAGTGAAGGTCACTGAAATCCAAAAACCTTCAAGGCAAGGTCTACATCAAGAAAAAAACTAAAAGATACGCATGGTCCCAGTAAAATCAACTGTGTTCTTTTCAATGCTCGTAGCCTTGTAAATAAAATTAATGCTCTTCACTTTTTCCTCTTCAATGATAAACCAGACATTGTATGTATAACTGAAACATGGCTCACCCCTGCCATTGAGTCATCTGAATTGTGCCCCAATTTCCCATACAAAATTCTTCGTAAAGATCGACTCAATAAACGTGGTGGTGGGCTATGTATTTTTGTTCGTGATAGCATTCTATGTGAGATATTACCGATGTCTACAGTAGGTAATTTCGATGTTCTTTCCATCAAAGTATATGGTTTGCAATTCAAGTGTATTCTTATACTTGTTTATCGTCCTCCTTCTTCTTCAGCCGATGATGACTCTCATCTTATAGATTTCTTGATTATTTGCAGCTCTCATCAGAATGTTGTCCTTTTAGGTGATTTCAATCTGATCATTGACTGGTCACGAAATGTCCCATTATGTTCGACTTCTAAACGATTCATGAATGCATTCAATGATTTACAACTCAACCAGCATGTACTACAACCTACACGAAATGATAATGTGTTGGACCTTATATTCTCCATTTCTCCTATAGTTAGTAATGTAGCGGTCAGACCCCCACTTTGTGGATCTGATCACGCTAGCATTTCTTTCAATTTGATGATACCTATCAATTCCCAAGTGGATTCTTGCCTTGACTTTGACTACGTACACGGTGATTACTCCACTATTTCCTCCGCGTTAAGCACTATAGATTGGTGGGCATTCTTTGACAATTCATCTTCTATTGATGAAATGTATCAGCGCTTTGTTGATCATCTAAATAATTTACTATTGCAATTTATCCCGCGAAAGCAAACTGAACGCTCGATTTGCAAGTATCCTCAACATATAAGAAACTTACTAGAACAAAGAAGCCGTTTATTTTCTTGCATCAAGAACCCTCTTACTTCTGATAAGTACAAAAGAATCAGTAAAAAACTATCCAAACATTTAACTAAATTCAATGCAAACAGACAAAAGAGATTGTCCGAGATGAAAATCTCATCTCTATTCAGATACGCTCATTCATTTCTCAAGCAACAGAATAATATGATTATTTTACATGATCATCAAGGGAATCTACTTAAATCTGATCGAGAAATAGCTGAATGTTTTGGTGATTACTTTGCCTCTGTTTTTCGTCCTCCTTCAGGATCTATCCCTGATTTTTCTGATCCTTATAGCGTTACTCAAACATATTCCTCCACTTTATCTCGAATTCCAGAAACCTTCCCTTGGGAAGTGACAACCTTTCTAAAGAAACTCAAATCGTCCACATTCCTAACAACAGATGGCATTCCTCAGATCGTTTTTAAGAAATGTGCAGTAGAACTAGCTGTTCCTGTTTCTATATTGATAAATTTTTCCTTGAAAATTGGTCAACTTCCCACCATTTGGAAACATGGGAAAGTAGTTCCCATTCCCAAAGTCCAGAATCCACATGAAATCACACAATTTCGACCAATATCTATCAATTCCGTTGTCTGCAAAGTTGCTGAAAAGATAGTGAGACGTAAACTGCTGACTTTCTGCACACAGAAAAACCATATACCTCCCGAACAATTCGGATTTATCGAAAGATCTTCTACAACTCTTCAATTAGTTTCTTGTGATTTTTACTGGAAAAGAGCTTTAGCTCAACATCAACAAATTGATGTTCTTTATTTTGATTTATCCAAAGCTTTTGATAGAGTGGATATTCCAAAACTATCTCAAAAGCTTTACAGTATAGGAATCCGTGGTTTACTTTTGAAATGGTTGATATCTTACCTATCAAACAGAAGTTTTTCTGTGCGCTACAACTCAGCAACATCCTCTGTCTTTCCAGCAACAAGTGGAGTCCCTCAAGGGGGTGTTCTATCCCCACTCCTTTTCAATATCTATACTAATGACCTTCCCGAATGCTTATCTATAGATAAAAAGATCAAAGTTATGGCTTACGCTGACGATAAAGTATTCGCTTCATATTCTGACGCTAATAAGAATGAAGTAACTAAATCGCTGAACTCTTGTCTACATAAGTTACTGTCTTGGGCGGTTATGAACAGCATTGATGTTAATTTAAACAAAAGTGCTTGTTTGACCATCACC